ATGGAAAGAGAGACACATAAGGCACAGTTTGGTGTTATGGTAAGAAGTAGTAAGACAAATTCAAGACTGGTTACAGGACAGAGAACGAGTGAGAAAGCCATGAGGAACATGCTCTAGGAAGATTATGGTGTTGGCTGAACACATTCCGTGGAAGGACACGGGGGGGCCGCAAGAATGCCAGGGCATTTAAGCTGGGCATGGCTTACAGAGGGACATGTGGAGGGCGGAGCGCCATGCTGTGTGGAATGAGAAGCATGGGCGTGCAGAGAGCATTGGAATTTTAGAGGATAGACATGTATTTCTTTAGTTTTGTAAGGAAAAGATAGCTTATTAAGTAAAAGTGAAAGTAACCTTCTGAGAGGTAGGAATGGGTCTGAGTGGACAGAGAAGTGCCTCAGAAAACCCCCAACTGTTGCATTCTGTGGGGTTTATAATTTAAACCTAGGTCATGTGGGTTTATCGTTGGCTGGGCCCCTGATTGTTTTCATCTCATTGATTCTATCAAAGGTGGCTGGGTACACTGATTTCGTATTGCTGTTTCAGGCGTGCCTGGACTCACTGATTTATATCATTGTTTGTCCATCTTTCTCCCTCCATAATTAGATGATAGAAATAGGAATGGTAGAAATGGAATAAATATGGGCCAGCAGGTGGATGGTGGCCAAAGCTCTGGACTCCCACATAGCCGACCTTGAGTCCTGGACCTGGCAGCTTGAAAATCACACAAGGTGAGTGTGCTTGTGTGCCCAAAATCCCAGGGGAAGATTGGAGGAAAGGGGATTGCAACTTGGTCATTCCCTCTGGGGAGCGATTTCTCACTTTCCCTTTCACTGTTTCTCTCTGGTGAGTGCATGTCACTCTATGGCAAAAAACCTTTAAAAAATGAAATAAATATAAAAGTTTAGATTTAGTATTTAATACTTATGTGTTGTCCCATTGGCTAATTTGTTTCATGTGCCTTCTACAATTTGTTTATTGATTAACTATGTGTCAATTGTGCATTGACTGTATATGTGGCATTATGCTGGTGACTGGGAACAGTACAATAAAGACAGACAGAAACAACTTCTGTCCCCATGGGGCTTATATCCTAAATGGAAAGCTCACATTAATCAAATGATAAGGAGTAGAAATGATAAACTATGCTTTTTTTGTGTTATAAAGATATGTAGATTTTGTTATGAGATCATGTACAGGCAAAGGGGGTCAGGGAAAGTTTTCTTGTGTGGGAATGCTTGAGCTAAGATTTCAAGGGTGGAATGGGAAATCAGGCAGAGGGAGCAGCTTAGAAGACTCCCTGTGGCAGGAGAGAGCAGGGAGTGTTGCAGAAATGGAACAGACAATGTGCTGCAGGTCAGAGAATGAGCAGTGAGGGTCTTGCAGGATTTGAGCCAAAATAAGGACTTAAGACTATTCAAAGGCAGTGAGAAGCAGTCTAAAAGGTTAGGAAGTGGGGAAATGTTAGATACAATTTTTTCCTCCCAAAGTGCTCTTTGATTGCAGAGCGCAAATGAAGTGGAGGTAGGTCTGGAAGGCCACTGAGGAGGTTACTGCAATATAGTAGGAGAAAATGCAGCTCAGGACAGGGTGGAAACAGTAAGGGTTCATTTCTTGCACGCGTACTCACTGAGCATGTTTTTGTAAAGGAAACCATGGTGTGGTGTGGGTGCTGCCAGGGAAAGGGGAAAGAGAGACACATAAGGCACAGTTTGGTGTTATGGTAAGAAGTAGTAAGACAAATTCAAGACTGGTTACAGGACAGAGAACGAGTGAGAAAGCCATGAGGAACATGCTCTAGGAAGATTATGGTGTTGGCTGAACACATTCCGTGGAAGGACACGGGGGGGCCGCAAGAATGCCAGGGCATTTAAGCTGGGCATGGCTTACAGAGGGACATGTGGAGGGCGGAGCGCCATGCTGTGTGGAATGAGAAGCATGGGCGTGCAGAGAGCATTGGAATTTTAGAGGATAGACATGTATTTCTTTAGTTTTGTAAGGAAAAGATAGCTTATTAAGTAAAAGTGAAAGTAACCTTCTGAGAGGTAGGAATGGGTCTGAGTGGACAGAGAAGTGCCTCAGAAAACCCCCAACTGTTGCATTCTGTGGGGTTTATAATTTAAACCTAGGTCATGTGGGTTTATCGTTGGCTGGGCCCCTGATTGTTTTCATCTCATTGATTCTATCAAAGGTGGCTGGGTACACTGATTTCGTATTGCTGTTTCAGGCGTGCCTGGACTCACTGATTTATATCATTGGCTATAGCAAATGTGGCTTAATCAGCTACCCCCCCCCCATCTCCTGCCTACATTACCTTGGGTAGGGAATTTTCTGCCTTTTTTTTGTCTAGCCACATGGGCAGATGCTCCAGCCCCCTTACCCGCTGCCATTTGCTAGCTTTCTTCTGCCTCATTTGCCCCCCTGAGAAGCAATGATCTCCATAAATCTTTTCGGGGAGTCGAAGGTGGATGGTCTGTCTTCTGTAACTGCTTCATGCTGGAAAGGGGTGTTGACCCTACCCTCTGGGGATCATGGATCTCTAGCCCCATCTGATCTAGGTGGGAGAGCAGTGCCAGGGGCAGGTTGTTGTGATAATCCTGAGGTGTGGCATGAAGACGGCTGGCGCTGGTGCTGGATGACTCGCAATAGGGTTCAGCTGAGATCCCAAGGGGTCTTTATCTCTGTTGTACTATCCATTGCAATTTATAGCCTCTAAGTGAGAAGAGATAAACTTGGCTAGGAGATTTAAGAGACAAGGCCCCAAAATGAGAGTGAAAATTAGTATTAACAGGGGTCGGAAGAGAGGCAACAGTCAAGGGAACCAGCTCCATAATTTGGACCAGGTTCCCCATGAAGCTGATGGTTGTTGGGTTTGTGGAGCCCTACCAGCCATATCCCTGGCAGCATCTCTCACCAGGCCAGATTGGTTTATGTAGAAACAGCACCCTTCTTCAAGAAACAGAACCCACCCTTTCCTGCAGTCAGAAGATCTAATGCCCTTCTGTTTTGCGGTACCACTCCTGACAGTGAATCTGATTGATCTTGGAGAGTTAGAATGTTTCAAGCTATTTCATCTAAGCTATCTGAGAACTCTTTGGATAACTTTTGATAATAAGTCAGGCAGGTGGAAAGACCAGCAACCCCTGTACTTATTTCGGGGTTGACATCTAGCCCCACTAGAAGGAGAATGAGTTGTATGGCTCTTTTTGTCCTCATATGAACTGTCAGGGGGACAACTAGTGACTGATTGTTGAGGGCATCTGTGATATCGGAGGACAAATAAGCCAACGTACAAGTTCCCGTACAATTGAGATAGATACATATTTCAGCTTGGTGGTTGAATAGGGTGGCGATCTGCGGCTGAGAACCAAGTTACAGTATCAACCACATGTCAGCAGGGGGCAGCAGAGAGCCGTAGAACTGGCACAGGCAAAGGGAGTTGGTGCTTGCAGTTCTCAGGGCACGAAGGCAGACAGCCATAGACACCTAGTCAAAAAATGTTTCTGTCCTCGGCCCTCTTTCCCCAAATGTATAGTGTGCATCAAAAACTCTCTTAAACAAAGTAAATATATTAACTCATTTAATTCTCATGACAAGATTCAGGCTGGTGTTATGTACTAATTATCTCCATTTTTCAGAGAAAGAGACTGAGGTACGCAAACGTTAAGTAACCTGCCCAGGTTAGAGAACTAAAAACTGCACAGCCTGGATGTCAAGGCTGGCAGTCAGCCTGAGAAC